TTTAGACGATATGAATGCAATCGAAAAACGGAATGAGGTTTTCAGTCAGCCGAGACCTCCCTCGTGCTACCACAAAATCCTCTGTTATGGTAAAAAAAAAAAAAGACAGGAAGACATAACCACTTTTTTTTATAAAGACATTTTATTTTTTTCAAGTAAACTACCCCCAACATGGGGCTCGATCTCACAACCCCAAGATCAAGAATCATGTGCTCCACTGACTGAGCCAGCCGGGTGCCCCCATAACCACTTTCTACTACTTTCTGGCCTCAAAAGGAAGCCCTAGTAATAGCCACTACCATGTACCCTCTACACCCGCAGTGTGCTGGGCACCCACAGACCCAATCCCATAACAAACCTGCACGATGGCATTACTGTCCCCACCCCATCGCTGGTGACTGGCCCCTGCAGGCACCCAAACCCGCCTCTGGCAATAATCAATACACCATGATGTATGCCGCCCAATATCCTGTGTTCTCTCATTCATTTCCCATAAACTTCTGCACCACACAAATGAGCGAATCTAACAAAATCTGCACCAGGCAGTTCAGTAAACTTAAAAAAAAAAAAAATCCAAGAAATCACAGTCTTAAGATATACAATCTCAGGAACAGTACCTCCAAATGTTAAGGCAATAAAGAAAATTGAGCAGTAAAGAAAATCAACTGTGCAATCCTCCAGTCACAAAATAAATACTACATAAATATTTTAAATCGAACAGCCATATAATTTGAAGGGGCCTTAAAGATGCAACTGGCAACAAACCTGCGAGCCGAAAAAAAATGAGTTCTTGAAGTCAATTTCTAATACTTTTTATCTTCAAACATGTGTTACTGTGAAGAGCGTGCGAATTTGTGTTCTACGCCAAGACAGAGGAACGGGACAGGCCAGAGCGCGTGTGAGCAGGTTCAGATTTTATTATTTACTGAATTTTCAAAAATGAAGAAGAGCATAAAACTTGAAAAACATGCCACTGTTTATTCTGGGGGGGGGGGCGCTTAGCCATTCTGGAAACAAAGTACAGATCAGATGGGAAAGGTCAGGTTTAATCTACATCAATACTTCTGACCCCTAGACTTTTATTCCTCCAGCAGAAGCCTGGTGCGGAAAATGCTCTGCACTTCCTCCATCACTCCCCCTACACGGTCTAAGTTTTAGGCACTAAACTGCTCTGACCATGCCTCCCAGACAGTAAGGAACTTTTTGAGCCAGAAACCCAACAATCGGGGCCCTCTCCAGGCTGGACCCCAGCTGGAAGAGAGGGGACTGCTCCCCTTGCCTGCACGCCACAGGGGTGAGGGGTGAACCTCATGTACCAGTCGGGCAGAGGTGCCAGGGAAGGAGTCCTTGGGAAGACAAGAGGAGCTCGAAGACCCAAAGAGGAAAAAGGAAATGAAAGCAGGATGGTCCAGGAGAGGGGACGAGGACAGAGGACGTAGGATCGGCAATCCCAGTGGAGTGGTCTGGGAAGACTCAGATTAGCTCAGCACACATGGAAGCCGCAGATACTGGAGGCATAAATAGTCTGGGGCCATTTGCCATACTCCTCTTTTGATCTTAAACTCCTCAAGAGTGGGGCCCACTTTCCCCATCAGGGGTGAAGACAGTGATCACTGGTGTCCCCGTTCCATCAGGGGACACGTGGGCAGGAGCCCCGCATCTCTGCCACGCTCTCACCACCCATAAGAAACCACAACGACAACTTATGGGGGGAGAGAGGAGGGGGGCTTCAACACAGCGGGTGCCACGCTGCATTCAGCCGTCAGGTGCATAACAGAAGGCGGACTTCAACTGCAAACTGTTTGCCCGGGGATCTGAGGCGGTGCATTCGTTAGCAGCACTCAGGATGTTCGTGGTACAAAAGCGCCCTAATTATCTTTCTTCCCAGACACCTAGCCCTGATGACATACAGCCCGCCGAACCAAAACATTAAGGCAGACGGTATTGTGGTTATTTTCTGAAGTAGAATATTTGACCAATTGCCAGAGTGTCTAAGTAAATACGTAAGTGATACAACTGAGTATCAAATGTGCATGTTATTTGTTCTCGCTTCCCTACTTAAATCAAGGCCTTGGGGCGCCTGGGTGGCTCTGTCCGTTAAGCGTCTGCCTTCAGCTCAGGTCATGATCCCAGGGTCCTGGGATTGAGCCCCGCGTTGGGACTTCTCCCTCTACTCCCCCCCCAAAAATAAATAAATAAAATCTTTAAAAAAGAAATAAAGTTTAAATCATGGCCTTGTTATTTAAACCCACTCTAAAACTCTGCAATCCACACACACACCCATCAGTAAAAAGACCAAGACAGATGCCAGGACAGGATGAAACAGAAAGAGAGATCCTAGGGCAAAACACAGACTTTCCCTCTAACCACGTGTCCACAGTGAGGTCAGTGACCCGGAGGACAGGCCGCCCTCCTCAGACCCGGCCATGGCCTCAGAAAACGCAGGCGGCATAAACAGACTCGTCGGAAGCTGCTGAGACCACGGTTCATCCCATTTATCAGGCCTAAAAGGGTACAACATGTTTCACTTCTCCTACCACAGACAGGAAGCTAACCTCAATCTCCCACATGTCCACAAACACAGTGCCCGGGCCTGTGGCTGCAGGAGGCCTGTGCCCCCCCAGGCCATGCTCCATCCCCCCCCGCCACCATGTACAGGCGTACACCAAGAGCTGACACACTGTGAGAGCACACACCTATGGCCCGGAACCTCAGCTCCCCTCCCAAACACACGGCAGTCCCTACACGGACACGCCTGCGCTGCCAGGGGCCAGCCAACCGACCAGCAAAGTGCTGAAAAAAATCGTTATCTGCGCACCCAGAAAGGCTTCTGCTGAGGACTCTACCAGCCAAGGCTGAGAGGCTGAGTGGAGGGGCCAGCCCCCCATCAGCTCTCCCTCCTGCCACGCAAGACCGATTGGAGCAAAAGACGTGAAAACACCAGGCGCTTTTCCAAGAATGCTGACAGGCCTCAGGAGAGGTTGCTGCCAAGTTCACGGGCAAGGCCGCTCTCATGTAGTCTCTTCCTCGACTGATGGGGGGGGGGGGGCGGTGTTACATCCCAATAAACCTAACATAAGGGGCGCCCGGGTGGTTCTGCAGGTTGGGCGTCTGCCCTCAGCTCAGGTCATGATCCAAGAGTCCTAGGATCGAGCCCCACATTGGGCTCCCTGCTCAGCGGGGAGTCTGCTTCTCCCTCTGCCACTCCCCCTGCTTGTGTTCCCTCTCTCTCTGTCAAAGAAATCTTTTTAAAAATAAATAAATAAATAAACAAACAAACTTAAGTTGAAAATACCATCAGGTGAACATGCATTTAATGCACCCGGCACTGAACCTCCCAGCTTAGCTAAGCCAACCTTCACTGTGCGCAGAACACGCACGGGAGCCTGCAGGTGGGCTAGGGCATCTAGTACAGTCTATCGAATAACACAGGGCTGACTCTCCCAGGTAATCTACTGAGCACTGTGCCGAGGTGACAAACAGGACGGCTGTGTGGGGGCAGAGTGGTGGGAAGTGTGCAGACTGCTGACCCTCGTGATGGGGGGGCCACCTGGAGGCTGCCGTCCCCCATCCCGGAAGAGGACTGTACTGCATCTCACCAGCCCGGGGAAAACGTCCAAACTCAAAATTCCAAGTGTGGTTTCTACATCACTTTCACATCATCATAAAGTTAAAACATGGTGAGCCGGGGACCCTCTGTTCCGTGAAACTGCTCTCCTGACCTCAGGCAAATACTACACCACTTCAGCCGAACACTGCTCAAAGCACTTGGGTGTTCTTAGGTCCACGAGGGAAGCAGCTCCTTGACCAAACTTGAGCGTCGTGGCCCAACAGCAAAACTGATCACAAGAAGGCACACATTTTTCCTTATTTAAAAAAAAAGGGGGGGGAACACCTGGGTGGCTCAGTTAAGCATCTGCCTTCAGCTCAGGCCATGATCTCAGGGTCCTGGGATAGAGTCCTGAATCAGATTCATTGCTCAGTGGGGAGCCTGCTTCTCCCTCTGCCACCCCCCTTGCTCGTGCTCTCTCTCTCTCTCTCTCTGACAAATAAATAAAATCTTAAAAAGAAAAAAAAAAACCTATTTAAAGATAGAAATAAGCCACACACAAAAGGACAAGTACTGTACAGTTCCACTTACATGAGGTCCCTAGAGTAGATAAAATTATAGATAGAGAAAGTTAAGAGTGGGTGCCAGGGCTGCAGGGCAGGGGGAACAGAGAGCTAGTGTTTAATGTGGACAGAATCTCAGCTCACGAGGATGAGGGGGTCCTGGACAGACGGCGGTGAGTCCACTTAACGCCATGAATGGTCCATTTTCTGTTATGTATATTTTACTATAATTAAAACAAAATAAAAGATGTTTGTACTCTTTCAAAGCAAATTATAGATTTGGAACATTCTTAGTCATATCTTAGAAATAGTAGGCTTTAAGCCTATACGAATAAAATATACATTACTATGTACATCGAAAGATACACCAGAGCTGTCTTCAATTTCCATACTCAGCCAAAATCTTGGGTTTCGATCTGGAAGGCCGAAGAGCAGAATGCTTCTTCAGCTGTTTCTGGCATCCTTGAACCGATGTGTGATCAGTGCATCGCACCCCCCAGCACGGCAGCATCGGTAACGCAAACCAGGCACATCGTTCAAATATTTACTGTTAGTATCGGAAGACTGATTTCCAAATGTCGGTGAGCATTCCGGATGAATCTTAGAATAAAAACCTCTTCCACCCAAACACAAACAACATGACACCCAAGGGATTTTGTCCTGCACTTACGACTTACAGGAGTACCTACGTACATACGCCACAACAAAGATGTACTGAGACATTCAAAGACAGGATGGAATGGCTGGTTACTGCCTATTTTAAAAGGCTGCCTGAATAAAATTCGAACACTGTCTATTGCAGAGAGCAGAGTCCACAGAGCATGCCGACGGACTTAACAACATTCGCTGTTAGACCTGGGGTGCCTGAGAGAACAAGTATTTCTCACCTGCTACCTGTCCACAGACTCCTCTGTCATTCTTCTCCAGGGAAGATGCTGAAATTGGTGTGCAGGCAGTGAAAGTCGAGATGCAGATGGACATTTGGAAAACAGCTTTGTTATCCTGAAAGCCAGTGACACCGCTCCACGCCACGCTTCTCAAGTCAAGGCTTCAGGACCATTTTCCTCTCAAGTGGCTGTGTGAGGCAGGAGTCGCATGTCAAAATACCAGGGAAAAAAATCTGTCTGAAGGCAACAATCTCACTTCTGCTCCTGAGATTATCCGCATAGTCTCTTTTTCAGGCACAGCACAAGGCTGGGGTGAGGGGCCGCTTTCCACAACTGCACCCTCATCGCCAAGGAAAGTGGCGGGTCCAGGAGTTAGAGAGATGTCAGTGATTGGACAAAAGTTTAATAAGTAGGAGACAAACTTCCCCTCATGGTGCGTTACCCTGACAGCTGGCCAAAACAATAATCATTATTCGAAAACAAAAAACACAAATCCTTGCTGCCCCCTCCTCCCCGGCTGGGCAGTCACCTACCCTGGACCACAGACATTCACTATGCACACCACACACTAAGAAATTAAGTTTCCTGGGTGCCTGGGTGGCTCAGTTGGTTAAGCGACTGCCTTCGGCTCGGGTCATGATCCTGGAGTCCCGGGATCGAGTCCCGCATCGGGCTCCCTGCTCGGCAGGGAGTCTGCTTCTCCCTCTGACCCTCCCCCCTCTCATGAACTCGCTCTCTCTCATTCTCTCTCTCAAATAAATAAATAAAATCTTCAAAAAAAAAAAAAGAAATTAAGTTTCCTGTGCCACAGTGCTGTTATCATCTTAATAACATCGTGATCATTTTCATAAAGTTTCAGACTTCTGCTGCATCCCAGAAGTCCCTTCTAGAGCATTGAGACTTCCTTTTGGCAATACAGGTCCTATTAACATTCCATCTTTTGCAATTTGGCCAAATGTTCATTGCACGCACATCCAATGTTTACGTAAAACTGATGGGAGGGACACATACCAAAATGCTAGCAATGGTTATGGACGGGTGATAGGATTCTGGATGATGTTCTTTTTGCTTCTATATTTTCTAAGCAGAGGAGAAAGACGAAAAGTAGGGGAGAAAGGGAGAAGAGTGGGGGAAAGGGGGTGAGGAGGAGAAGGCAGGAGAAAGGTTTTCTAAAGGAAAACCAAACCTAGGCTAAAAGGCAAATGCAAAGCAGCCTTCAACAGCCAGACCCCAGGGGACCATTCAGAGGGGCCCCGGGTGACCCAGCCCAGCCCGCATCTACCCCCAGCACACACCTGCCCTCCCACAGACCGCCTTCCTGAACATGTTAGCCCAGTCTTGCAGGGCACTGGGCATTCCATCACAAGGCCTCATTGGGAGGTCCATCGCCAGCTGCCCCCTCTGGAGGGCCGCCCTTGAGAACAGAGCCCTAGGCCTCCCCAACCTTCCCTGCAGCTTTGTACGGCCAGCAATAGGAAATGCATACTGGTTTTTACCACAGATCTGCGTGGTGACTGGAGGGGCTGGGGCTGTCGGCTCTTGAAAAGGGGGTTACGGGGAGTCAGGACACCCAGACACTCCGATCCAGACCTCACCAGGCTCCGAGGAAGGATTTAAACCAGGTGATTTCTAAGAACGGAGCTCTACTCCACATGGCTGCCAACACCACAGACAATCGGACGTCAGGGGCAAAGACTCAGAGCGACATGGGGCCAAGAGAGGTGGCAAGTGAGGGCCAAAGGCGAGCTGGGGACCAGCACAGAGGACAGAAGCCAGGAAGTAGAGCAGGGGCATCCCCCTCCAGAACCATGTGCCACCATCCTCTTCCACCCGCAGAGCCTTGCACTATGTGGGGGGAAGAGGATTCTGCAAGAAGACGACTGAACAGTGGGCATGAGCAGGAAGACACCTCGATGACCGGCTTCCGACTTTCTGGAAAATCGGTGGTTTCGGGTCAGGGATACGGCAGACGAGACAGTAGTTCGGACTTTAAAGTTTTAAAAATTCCTTATTAAGAGTCATTCTTGGGTGCCTGGGGTGGCTCAGTTGGTTAAGCGACTGCCTTCGGCTCAGGTCATGATCCTGGAGTCCCTGGATCGAGTCCCGTATCGGGCTCCCTGCTCGGCAGGGAGTCTGCTTCTCCCTCTGACCCTCCCCCCTCTCATGTGCTCTCTCTCAAATAAATAAATAAAATCTTTAAAAAAAAAAAAAAAGAGTCATTCTTTGCACAGTATTTAAACACTTTTTTATGGGAAAGTCAGCAAGGCTTCACTTCTTCCCCAGGAGACCACAGGCTTCCTGAGGCAGGGACCTGACCTGCGCTCACCTCTGTGTCGCCTGTACCCAGCAGGTCACCTGGCCCATGGCAGCCACCAACCAGGACTTTTGGAAGAGTGTATTTTCTGCAAAAGCGCCACAGACCTTCTTGCACACAACAATGTTTATAGGACATCTTTCTATAGGATTATTCTTCTAGATAATGTTTTCAAGGGTTGTCTAGTATTCCATTGTGTCGGTCTATGTAATCTGTTTAGCCAGTGCCCTAGTATTCGATGGTTTCCAACTTTTCTAGAAGACAGCTCTGGGACGAACGACGGGCTTGATTATTTCTTAAACTCCTGGACAGTATGTAAGTATCCATGCCAGCCCCTCTTCAAAGCGACCCTCCACACCCTGATCTCAAAGGACAATTGTCATGAACTTCATCATTTAGGTAAACTACCAGGAACTTCTCAAGCAGGGGAATCTCCTAAACCAGGCGCCTCTGACATCAACGGCTGAAGTCCTACATGTCCTCTCTAGACCCATTTTCCGTCAGGTGCAGGAATGTGAGAGGCAGGACCTGTTCCAGAGTCTCCTGCCCACCTTCTGTGGCTCACCTTCTCGTCTGGCTCCGTGGACAATGAGCCATGAGGCAGTGGCACACGCGCCACGCCCCTTCTCCCTCCACAAGGCCAGCTCTGTCCCTTTGCTTCTATGTCCTCCGAAGAAGAACTGACCCTGTCCCACCCCAAGACACAGAAACGTCAAGTCCCCTGTACCCACAAGAGGCTCCTGGCGTGCGTCCGCCTCCTCCCTGCGGCGGACTCTTCTCATCAGCCCCTCTAACAAGGGGACAGGCGGCAATAAAGACCCTCAATCATACAGTTCTAAAAAGGGACCTTTCAGTGGTCCTCCTGGTGAATTTCACGAAAGCTTTAGACAGCCTCCCCAGAAAAACGCGCCACACCCCAAATGGTAAGCGTGATTTCAGCAGCTCCATAAACCTGCACACGGACCCCAGTGCAGGGGGGAGACCCGGGTCCACTGCCAGGGCCTTCACGCAGACGGCCCAAGGGCGCTTGAGAAGCTTCCGTCAGCTCCCACCACCCTGCCTCGGTCTCTAAAATCAGAGGAGGGGAAAGCAGACCACATGCAGGGCCCTGTGGAAACTTGGACCGTGGCCCAGCGCACCGGCTGGTAACTCTGTAGGCCCTCTCAGAACTCAGGTGTCCCTGCACAGACAGTGGCCATAAAACAAATGTTGAGTCACCAGCCTGTGAATGGGCAGCGGCGCTGAGAGGAGGCACGGCCGAGGCTCTGTCTCTGAGCGCCAGGCGCGCTCCACGGTTGCCAACATGCTGACTGCGTGAGACCCACACCCTGCAAAGCTCCATGCGGGCGAGCCTCTGCTGTGTTCACGCCTGTCCTGAGCCTCATCGTCCACGTCAAGCTGCCGTCAATGATCCTGAAGGCTTCAGCCAGAGACTGAGGCTGCCCGTGAGGATTTCCATAAAGATGATGACAAACATAGGCCGTTCTGGGCACCTGGGATCTTAGGGTAAGGAAACTGAACTCACAGCCAGCGGGGACAGGGACAGGCTCCAGGACAAGATCCAGGAGACACACAAGCAAGAGGACAACAGTCCACATGGTCAAACCTCAGAACACTTGGGCCCTCCACGTAGTCGAGTGAAGGGCGCCCCCCTGCCACCCGGGGAGCAGGAAGGGAAGCCAAGAGGACGGGCCAGGGGCGCGCACCTGACCAGCCCGCAATGGAAGGGCCACGATTTCCGTCTCACGCAACAGAGCCGGTGCCCAGGGAGGCCTAGAACCCGGCTCCGCTGCCCTGCCTGGCGCTCCCCAACCGCTTTCAGAATCCGGGCTCCGCGCCCCAGCGAGCCCAGAACTGCTTCTGCGGCACACGGAGTCCGTCAGCATCTCCCTCCTCCTCCACCCGCCTGCACACCTCAGGAGGAGCCAAGTCCGCTTCTCCTCGCGCCCCACGCACACCCCATCCCGGGCAGACGGCCCCCCAACGGTCAGCCTGCAACTGTCACCAGGGTGAAAAGTTCTCAGTGGAGCCCCCCCTTTGCCATTTCTCTGGCCTCTGCAGCTGCCCCTCACTCTTGGGACAGGGGGACGCCTCAGCCAGCGCTCCCCACCTCCTTAGGGGGCAGCTCTGTGGAACTCTGTTCTCCACCCTGCTCCCAGGACGCTTCTGCTCTATTCTGAACCTTTGCTGACCCTGTGACTCCGGGGAGCCCCATTCCCTGCACGAGCATCGTCCATCCACCCAGCCTGGCAGGGGAGTCCCCACCGCATGCACCATCTGAGGCTGGTCATGGATTCACACAGTGCACCTGATGGGACTTCTAAACGACCCAACATTCCACCTTTTGTACCTTTAACAGAGACAGCCTGCCGGGAGGGGCACCATCACCAGTGAAGAATCCACCAACCATTGCTGTTTCTATAGCATGGTCTGGACACACAGCTCAGAAGGACAGGAGAAGAGGCACTGACATAAAATTCTTTTCTATCAACAGATGATAAACACCAGGTGATGTGGGGCTCGTGAGCCACTCTTTCGGGTGTCACGCAATCTGGGAGATGACTAGGGTCTGCAAACCCAAGCTCTCCGTTCACAGGTAAGGAAGCAGAGGCGAGAGCCGGCCAAGGTAACGGCTTTGGCACACATGGGCCGGCACACAAGGTGTCTGTAAGGGTATCCAGGAAGGGGGGAAGGGAGAGGGAGAAGGCAGAGGGAAGGACGATGTGAATGAGAAATGCAAACCACTGTAAACGAACTGATAGCAGAATTTTGAACTCTACCAAAAATTGTGGGCAAATAAAACCTCGTTTCTAATAAAGACTCTTTCTTTAAAACACTGATTCACCTTAAAGATAGTCATTCATCTTCTCCAGG